AAATTAGAGCCAGGGATTTAGCTCAATGGTGCAACTGCCTGCCTTGCAAGCACAAGGTCCTGGGTTCAATCCCTGGTACCGGGGGGGGGGGGGGGGATGTTAGATCCCAAGCCAGATATGCTGGACTACCACTTATGTGCATAATCACACTATATCTATAACAATTACTATTGGTATTGCTGGAACCAGAATGAATAGAAGAAGAAAAAAAAGAGCTACAGAAGTACCACTTTCTCCAGCACTTTGTAGGGAGGTTAGGGAAAGGAATTTGAGGATTCTAAACTCATGGGTAAAAGGTAAGAGCACTCTTCATGTGGAGACGGCAATGGGCAAAATAATTTCTATCAAAGCTTGGTGCCAGCAAATACTTATCTCCCATTCTACTTAGTCAGGTCCTCTTGTTCTGATTCCTTGGTCACAAAACAACGTCATGATTATGATTCTGTTCCCTGTGTAATTATGCCCAAAGAGAAAGAATGTGCTGATCATAGCAACTACATGCTCAGTCCATGAATTGGCAACTCATTACAAATTAATAACAAGGATTACTAGACAAAATAATATGCTAGTTCCAAGGGCTTTTAAGCATTGCGGTATTAGAGAATCTAAGCATACTGGTTAGGACACAGGCTTTGGAATCAGAGAAACAAGTTTAAATCTTGGCTCCGCCACCGGCCAGCTGTGTGACAACAGCTGGCATTAAGGATAATAATACCTGTCTTGTCAGGTCTCAAGTATTAAAAACACAGTGTATGCAAAGTAATAGGTACAATATTTGACACAAATAGGTACCCAATAAATATTTGTTGAACAAAATGAAGACACATAATCAATAAGTGGTAATTTGGAGTTTAAATGAGCTCATTTCATGTACGTCTTTCTCCAAAAGATAGATTTTTAACTTAGAGTTTTAAGCAAAAATCATGATTTGGGGCTTACCTACCTTGAAGATCATACTCTTTTTTTTTTTTTTGGTACCAGGGATCAAACTTGGGACCTTGCGCTTGCGAGGCAGGCAGTGGCACCACTGAGCTAAATCCCCGGCTGAAGATCATACTCTAAGACTTTATAAGTTCTAGAGCCGGGGATTTAGCTCAGTGGTTTCGCCGCCTGCCTCGCAAGCACAAGGACCTGAGTTTGATCCCCGGTACCAAAAAAAAAAAAAAAAAAGACTTTATAAGTTCTCTAGGTAATTTCCGCCATTCCATAAGAGACCTTTTGGAAAATAGACTGGCAAATTTGTTTCTTTTCTGATTTTAATACTCTGATAGATCCAAATGAGAACTGAGTCAAAGATCTAATCTTTTTTGGGGGGGGGTACCGGGGATCCAATTCGGGTCCTTGCACTTGCACAGTAGGTGGCGAAACCACTGAGCTAAATCCCCAGGGTTCCGCTGCCTGCCTTGCAAGCGCAAGGACCCAAGTTCAATCCTCGGTACCAAAAAAATTAAAATTAAAGATCTAATTTTTAAAAGAGCTACCTCTGGATAATGGGATTAGAAGTTACTATTTTCCATCTATAGTTTTCAAAATTTTGTAAAATTCTATTACACAAAAGAAAAGTTGGCTCTCTTTATTATCTAAGTAAATTTTTTTAAACTGCCACAAAAATTTGAACAAAGAAAAGACAGACATAGAAAAGATATGACTAAACAGGAAATAAGCTATGGCACTAAAGTGCATTGTGGTAAGGTCCTATAGATTTGCTAACGGTATAGAGCAACTTGCTCTTAAATTCTCTACCAGCCTTCTTAAAAAAATCTATAATCATGTATGAGGTTCACAGAATCTCTAAGGTAAAAAACAAGGTAAGGGCCCAGAAAAAGGACTGCCATTGTTGTTAGTGAGCCATGAGAGCAATTCTTCCCATGGGTATTTATTTCTTTTAACATCTTTCAGGAAGCCACTGGCCTGATGCCATAACACAACAGCTGAAATGTACACTCCAGACCAATTCAAGGGGCTGTTGTTTCTGAGTTACGGAAATAAAAGAAAGTAAAACCAAAGCCTTCTTTGAAGTTAATTCCTTCTACAAAGTAGTCACATAGCACAGTGAAAACTGTTAGGTGTACTTCCATGCGGTGCATTTTTCCTCAAAACAAAATAACATGTCAACGTATCAACACACTAAAGAGTGTGTTAAGGAAAATAAAACTTGAATAGACAACTATTTTTTAAAAAACCAAACATGACCTGAGTATGGTGGTGCACATCAGTAATTTCAGCACTCGGGAGGCTGAGGCAGAAGGGCTGAAAATTCAAGGCCAGTCTGGGCTATAAAATAACAACAACACAAGCCACAAGTACATTAAGAACTGCTTACTGGGGGCCTGGGATTTAGCTCAATGGTTCCGCCGCCTGTCTCACAAGCGCAAGGACCTGAGTTCGAGCCCCAGCACTCAAAAAAAAGAACTGCTTACTAGTAGACAAATAATTTGGGGGGGGGCTAGAATTAGCTGAGAACTCACATAACTTATGTACCTATTTCGTTAAATTACAAAATGGTTTAGAGGCAGAAGGCAGAAATGTTTGACTGTCATGTGATCAATTCTGTTTTGGAAGAAACACACAAATTAGTATCTGTATTTTTCTACATAAAATATGGTTTAGATCTTACCCTGTGATTCCTTTTTCTTCATAAGTGCATCTGGGAGTTCATCTAAGAAGAAATCTGGTAACAAAGGTTGGCCTGAAAAATTCACCCCAAAATAATCAGGTTAACATAAAAACAGTAATACATTAAGATTTTAATACCTGTTAAATAAACATTATGTGTGTTTTTAAGATTATTCGGGAGCAATGGAAAAGGTCGTAAGAACTGTCAAGCTACTTGATCTTCATTAAATTAATTTTTCTATAACTCAGTTATCCTCTTCTCCTTTGACAAACTTCATCTTCAAAATCTAATTTTTAAAACTCACCTGTTATAAACTGGCCTGGTGGAATTCACCTGTAATCCCCACACTCTGGCAGTCTGTGGAAGGAGGACTGCAAGATGGAGCCCAGCCTGGGCAACTCAGTGACTTAGAGACACTGTTGAGGAGGGGATTTAGCTGAGTGGTGCTGCTGCCTGCCTCACAAGCACAAGGTCCTGAGTTTGATCCCTGGTACCAAAATACAAAACACAAAAAAAAGAGAGACACTGTCTCAAAACAAAAAATAGAAAAAGAACTGGGAATGCAGCCCAATGTGAAGGCCCTGGGTTCAATTTCCGGGGGGGGGGGGCTTTGCCTTCCATTCAAGGAGTCTTGGCCCTCCTAATCCTTACAACCTTTCCACCCTTCACTCCTCTAAGTGCTCAGGAGCTCATTTCTTACTGGCGATGGAACTCGGGACCCTGAGCTTTTGAAGCAGACAGCAGCACTACTGAGCTAAATCCCCGGCCCTCATTTCTTACCTAGACTCCAACAGCAGAGGTCCTCATTGAGATGGACTTGTTTCTTTTATACATCAATGTATTTGAGTCTTTACTCTCCCTCTACCATTATGAAGACCAAGTTATTGTCTTCCACTAGGTCTTACTTTCATCTGACAGCTGTGGTTAAAAAATGTATTACTTTTCACATGATAAGCAAGCATTCTGCCACTGAGCTACATTCCTAGCATTTTGTTTTGGAGATAGGGTCTTGCTAAATTGCCCAAGATGACCTCAAATTTACAGTCTACCTCAGGCTCCCAAGTGCTGGGATTACAGGCATGCATCACCACACCCAGATGTTGGGGACCAGCCATGATATGTATAGATTGGTGGGAGCCAAACTACAGGCCCTGAAGTCAAGAGGGGCAGATGTTGAGTTGCTTTAGGAACAGGGAAGTATTTGCAGAACCTGCAGGCTTCCTGGCTGGGTGGGACCTAATCCTATAATCCCAGTGCTCCTGGAGGAAGATAACATCAGATGAGGACAGCACAAAGAAAGCAAGTACCAGATATGGGGAAAGATCTTAACCTGTTTTTTTTGTGATTCTAAACTTGTTTCTCATTCTACTAAGTGCTTACTGCAGTCCCTGTTCCAGGAAGGGTGTACTACCCCCCGGCCCCCCACCCAGAATTTCTCAATGGCTAATAAAAGTGGGCCAAGCCCAAGAGGTCTTGTCTTTGTTCAGTCTGAGGCACTGACCTCCAGGCCCCCTGTACCTGCAAATCTGTCTTTGTCTTTCTTAATCCCTGGCCACACTCCACTGAGCAGGCAACCCAGGGTTTAATCAGGGCTTGGTAACCAGCTAGTTACCTATCTTAACATGACACCCATACCTTCAAGACATGCGTATGCTAGGAGCTCTGAAGGCCACAAAGCCTCCAAAACTGTAGTAAAATCAGATATTAATAATCTCTCTCTGAAGATTAAACAAATTTCTGGAGGGCAGGAGTAAATTGATATTTGTTATATCCTAGTATCATATAGTACCTGGTCGTTCAGTACATTAAATTTTTAATTTTCTGAAAAAAATTTTTCTTAAATTTTCTGTATAGTGATACTGTGGCCTCAAAACCTAAAGTGATCATTGTACCAAAACCCAGAAGAACTGAGTCTGGTTCAGGTTCTGACATTTATTAGCCATCTGCTCTTAGGCAAAGGCTTAATCTCTCTGAACCTAATTTTTTTTCCACTTACAAATGTTAACTGCTAAATATTGTGTGTGTGTTATGTGCGTAGGTACTATCCAAACACATTATATGTGTTATCACATACAGTTCTAACAGAAATCCTGTGTGGAAATGATCATTCTCTTAATTTTGCAATAAGGAAATTTGTGGGAAGCCAGGAGTGAAGACCAAGGCCTGGGTTAAACTCTCCTTGAGATGGCTTGAGAGAATAAGCCCCCATCCCCACCCCCAGGTCTGTTCACTAACACACCAGTGCCAGCCAGTTTCAGAGAAAGAATCAACTACAGCTAAAGTCTGATAAAAGAATATAAATACACATTCAGGTGCAGTCTATAAATTATAAAAACCTGATAAACTTTCCCTAAGGCCTAGATCACATGTTTGCTTGCTTCTTGTTTGTTCGAGTCTAATAAAAGTGAGGAACAGTGTCAGTTCAGGGCTCTTTTATCCACGAGAGGCAAGAGCGCCCTGACCCTCCTCTTCCAAATTATCTTTGTGTCTTTTGTCTTTAGTCCTCATTTGCCCCCCAGGTCAAGATAAACTCCTAAATTGGCCTCCTACAGAAATTGAGGGTCAAAGCTACACAGCTAGTGAGCAGCAGAGCTGAAATTGAACCTGACTTGTTTTCACCCAAATTCCATGTTCTTAATCACTAGACAGTATTACTTCCCTCATAGGACTGCTATACAGATTACATAAATAATGTATATGAAGGTGTTTTATAAAACTATAATCAGCTATTTCAGTTTCAACTAGAGACAAGCAGAGATGATACAAATATGATTTCTACCATCAACAAGGTCAGTTTAATAAATAATATTTAAAATATACTTTAATACAACAAAATAATTGCCATTTGTAGCTATGATATCTGTTATTTAGGATGACTATATTTTATTTATTTATTCATTCTTAATTTTTGTTTGTTTTGTGGTGGTTTTTTTGTTGGTTTTGTTGTTGTTGGTTTTTTTTGGTACTGGGGATCGAACTTGGGTCCTTGCGCTTGCGCAGCAGGCGGCGAAACCACTGAGCTAAATCCCCGGCCCTCATTCTTAATTTTTATTTTTAGGGCTTCAGTAGGAAGCCCACCCAGGCCCCTGATTTCCTGGGCTCAAGCTATCTTCCTACTTAGCCTTCTGAATACCATGGCTAGGATTGCAAACTACTTAGCTTATACCCAGCTAAGAATACATCACAGTTTTTATATGAAGTAAAAACCTATTATCATTATCATGTGCAATTTCAGAAGGAGTTATTTTGAACAGGGGCATCTTCTAGAAACTTCTCAAAGACTACTGTACAGAAGACAGGTCCTGCTCATGCATCTTAATCATGTCATTAAACTACTCTAAGAGACTACACTTAAAATCAAACATTTGGGGCCAGGGATTTAGCTCAGTGGTTCTGCCGCCTACCTAGCAAGCACAAGGACCCGAGTTCGATCCCTGGTACCAAAAAAAAAAAAAAAAAAAAAATTCAAACATTTGGAATGAGGCTATAATCTTAAAAGTTTTATAAACAACCCACTACTGTTATCTGTCATATATCTGTGAATAAAATCATTACTTTGATTTTTAAAAGACCAATTTTAAAATCTAATTTTCATTTTTGGTTTCAAAATTTGGAAATGGCTAGTAACTGATGATCTGCATCTGTGTACCACTTCAAAAGCCCTCAACTCAACTTTTCTTTTTTCTTTTAAGAAATGTTGTTGTGGAGCACAGCAAGGTGATGCATACTTGTAATCCTAGCACTTGGGAGGCTGAGGCAGTAGGATTGCCACAAGTTGAGGTCAGCCTGGGCTACATAGTGAGTTCAAGGGCAGAGTGAACTGCACAGAGAGACCCTGTCTCAAAAAATAGAAAAGGGCAGTCTAAACTATATAGCAAGACCCCATCTCAAAAAACAAACAAAAAAAAAGTAGTGTTGCTGTGGGGTTTCCCCTTCAATGGAAAGACAGCTTTTCAAAAAACACATTCCTTTTATAATCACACAAACACACAGATATATGTTCAATGCAGTAAACGTAGGAAACCACATCACTACTTTCAAAAGCTATAAGCATTACCTGGTTTAATCGCGTAGACATCAAAATTTTTAATTCCTTCTTCTTTTAAGATATTTTCATCAATAATAAAGTTGCCAGTAAAACTTTTTGGCTTTTTAAAAATGGAATATGCAGCATCTGCCATTATTTCAACTTTTCTACATTGGCTTTCAATACCTGTTCCTCCCAACATGTCCATAGCAGCAGTGTGGATAGCTGTAGAGAAAACACACACACACACACATAACTCCAAATCAAATAAGACAGCTATGGAAGTAACAAGCAAGTCCTACCCTTCAAAATTTCCAAGACTGATCTCTTTATTTCTCAGATGATGAAAACAAAGTCCAACAAGCTTACAGAATTTGCTAAATGCTCTACAGGCAGAATTCTCTCACTCTGTATAATGCTGCTTTATACAGAATTCCTACATGGTCCCACCAAAACTAACAAGACTTCTGATTTAGAATGTTCAAGAATATACATGGCATTTTTTTTTTTTTTTGGTGCTGGAGATCGAACTGGGGTCGACATGGCATTCTTGAGAGTCAAGAAAGCCAGTGTGGTATAATGGAAAAGGCAGTGAGCTAAAGGGCAAGTGAGTGGGATTTTTATATCAGCAGTGCCATGACTTCTACCAAGCCACTTTAACATCTTTGGATCTGTTTCCTGTCTTTAAAATGTGGGGCATCCTTTACTAAGTTTATTGTATCTTTTCCCCCTGCATTAGAAAACAAGACACCGTTTTTCTTATTCATCATTGTATCACCGGTGTCTAAAGCAATGACCAGTGCACCATATGCATGCAATAAATAAGGATGGGAGCCATTTTAAAATTCAGATGGTTTGTAGAAAGTATTAGAAAATAAAAAGAAATAAAGGAAGAATTTATTTAGTTTTTGTACCAGGAATTGAACCCTCAGTCCAAAAGGAAAATTTTTTAAATTTAAATTCCCTGATCCAGCGATAACCAATGCAAATATCTGCAATTTTCATCATTTTAGGTGTACTTTTTTTTTTTTTTTTTTTTCAAGTGCGTTCTTGAAATGTTGCCCAGGCTGGCTCCATACCTCCTGGGCTAAAGCAATCTTCTTCCCTCAGCCTCCCAAGTAGCTCGGATTCTAGGCACATGCTACTGGAAAGATACAGATACATTTTAAATTCTGTTTCTTATATGAAATAACTTGAAACTGCATGATTAATGGTATATTAATTATACACTGTCAAACTAATATCTCAATTTATAAATAAAGCATTCAAAATCCTTTCATCTCAATGCACTTTAGGTTTCAGAGTTTCTTGTAATTTAAACAAAACTACTCTCCATTCCATTGTTAACACATTATTTAAAATTATTACAGACTAGAAAACTCACATTCTTTGTTCTATAAAATAAAATATTTGTAGTTTTTAAGAGCCATTGGCCCTTTTTCATCCTACAAAATTATTTTTTTTTTCATCCTACAAAATTATTGAGCACCTATTAGAAGTCAGGTACTAGTCAAGATACTGGGGGCAAAGCAGTGGAGAAAACAGACATAAAGCCTCTATCTTCATGGAATTTACATCCCTACTTCAAGAAAATGTTCAATTAACCACAAATTTCCTAAAAGCACTAAGTTAGAAAATATTTTTCTATCATATAATTAAAATTTCTCTACTAAGAATTAATTTTTTTACTTAATAGTTTAAGGAGTAATCATTTTTGAAGTGATACCTTATTAATTTAAAATAGCAGCTAATATTCATTACATATACTTTGTCCAGGGCATGTTGCTACATACTTCACATGCATTATCCAAATTAATTTTTACAACCCATAAAGAAGGTACTGTTATTTCCATTTTGCAGACAGAAGCACTGATGCAGAGGACTGTAATACTGATCATGCCCAAAGCAGGTTGTAAAGAGTTAACCCCACAATTGGTTTGTTTTGAGAAGTGAGTCCTGCTGAAGCCTATGTGCCAAGGTCAGAGTAATTTGCACCCAAATTCCATTCCCACAACTAAAACCTTCTTACTAGAAGGACAATGTTCTAATTACAACCATATATTTTGTCTATTCTGCTCCTAATTTGACAATTCTTTGTCCTGTCCTTTATAAGCCTTGTTTATATTAATTTCCATAAAAACTACTCATAGCTCGCCTTTAACCAAATTGATTGCCACTAAAAGTCAGTGCCTGGGACTGTCCAGTGCCTTTGTCCGCTGCATTGGTCATCCTGGCACCCCGCTTTTTCTCTCCTAGTTCTGTCTCTTAGTGTATTTTTTTCTCAGGCCTGCATTGCATACTGGGCAGGTGGGGACTAGAGAGTTACTATAGGAGTCTCTAGCATACTGAGGCACAGAAAGAAGTGTTAGCAACTTGTCCAAAGTCACAGGTGCTGGAATTTAGATACTCGACAGTTTGACAGATTCAGGTTTTTATCACACTTTGTTTACTAAAGTTCTTGGAGTTCAGTTATTACCTCACTACCATAAACTACGTAATTTTTCCTATAAATATTTCAAGACAGTCTTTGAGACTACATGCATATGTATATACTCCTAGTCTAAATGCAGACTACATGAATGGCATGAGAATCCTTAACAATTCTAAATTAGAAGTGTAATGAGTATAATGTCACATGGCATACAGAAGTAGACACCTGTAATCCCTGCTACCTCAGAGGCTGAGGGAAGAGGACTGTAGGTTTGAGGCCAGTCTGGGCAACTCAGTGAGACATTGTCTCAAAATAAAATTTTTCAAAAGGGCTGGGGATGTAGCTTGGTGGTAGAGCATTTGCCTAGGATGTGTGAGGCTCTAGGTTCAATCCCCACTATGGGAAGCAGTTACATACACATATATACCCTCTGTGTGTGCGTGTGCGTGTGTGTGTGTGTGTGTGTGTATAGAGCATAAGAACAAAAAGTGGTTCTTCAAACAACCTATCATTACTTTAAGATTCTTCCTAGATAAGACATAAAGAACGCACAAATCGACGCTCATAATCAAGAGATGGGCCACAGAGACATTTTCAAAACCTCAAGATTTTGTAAAAACGTGACTCTAAAACTTCAGTCTTATTAGGGAATAAATGGGAAGACATCTAAGAGTTTGCAGCTCTCTTGATTAGAAGTCATTCAAAACAAACAGTGACGAGAGTCTTATAACCAATAAAAGATTTCCTTTCTATAAACAGACGGAGTCCACTTCAGGCTTAAAATATCAGCACTGCCTTGCCTGACTTCAATACCTCCCATCCCTGAGTTATTCATTGAACCTGTAACCGTACAGATTATAAAGTATATCATCACTTAATATACCACTAAGGAAACAAAAGAGCTGGCAGTTAAACTACAACACATTATCAACTATGAGGTACATAGAGAAATTAGAGATATAAAACATTTTGATATGAGAGATGTAAAACTGTGAAACATGGGCATTTCAGAATCAATGAAGTAAGGTATAAACTGCTGTTTAATCTAATCAGTGAATAAGTCCCTTGAAAAACAAGGAACTTTGTTTTGATTTCCAGCACCAGAGGGGAGGCCAGCTGCCACCTTGTCTCCTCACTCCCCTAGGTTAACTGAGTTCTCACATTTATTTGGGCCATAATGTGGCCCAGGTGACACAGGACAGCAGAGAACTGTCATACTCTTGTGACCTTTCTCTCTGATGCCATTACCACATCAGTCACTGCCCTACCCAGATTCCACACCCCAGCCCACATAAAATCCACCCTGAAGTGGTCTTTCCTGATTCTACCACTCGTGTCCAGACCAGTGAAGAGGGAAGAAAGGAGCAGCCAGCATTCTGAATCACAGCTGTCATTTCCGCCCTGCCCTGAACTTCAGCAAAAACTATGAAATGTTTCTTATAAAAAGAAAACATACAGGTTAGGGGCACAAAATCCTCATGTTGCAAAACATCAGAGGGCTTCCCTGCCCTCTGATCCTTTCTCTGAATGTGTTGAATTCAGTAGTGAAAGTGCTGAAGCCAGGAGGGGCAATGTTACTGATGTTGAGAAGTTTTTTGGTACTGGGGATCAAACTCGGGACCTTACGCTTGCAAGGCAGGCAGGGTCAACACTGAGCTAAATCCCTGGCCCCTGAAGTTGAGAAGTTATACCAACCCAAAGGAGAACAAGCAGCCAACCAGGATGCCTCTCTGACTGTAGATAACATGTTACATGGTATCCATTCTGTTAAGTTCAATAAATCTCCTTTTCCTTGAAAGGCAATCATATTGGCAGATTAGTTCTGGTTCCAGCTGACACAGAGTCTTCTACACAGTCCAGGATGAGGGAATGCATATTTTCAAAAATAGAAACCTCACCAACAGCCCTGAGCTTGGATATGCTCTCAAATCTATTTTCATTTCTCCATTTTCATTGTCTACCTCATGAATAATGCAACAGTCTAGCTAGCTTCTCTGTCTCTTCTCTCATTAATCTTACAATCCATCTAACAGTCAATGCCAGATTAAACATCCTAAACCTCATCAACAACCATATCACTTTATTGGTCCTATTTTTTCCTCTGATATTATTTCTCAGCTTTAAAAAATTTTTAAGAGGCTCTCCCCTGGGGCTGGGGATTTAGCTCAGTGGTTCTGGCACCTGCCTCACAAACACAAGGTCCCAGTTCAATCCCGGGTACCAAAAAAAAAAGAGGCTCTTCCCTAAATATAGGTTAAAATTCAAGCTTCAAGGCTAAGGCTGCAGCTCAGGGGTAGAGTGCTTGCCTAACATGTGCAAGGTCCCAAATTCCATCTCAGCACTGCAGAAGAAAATCAAATTGCTAAAGTTAGACAACAAGACCCGAGGCCTAGCTGGGTGTGATGGTGCATGCCTGGAACCCCATCACTCTAGCAGAGTGAGGCAGAAGGATCACAAATTTGAGCCCTGCCTGGGCAACTTAATAAGACCCCGTCTAAAAATAAAAAGAGACCGAGGATGTAGCTCAGTGCAAAAGCCCTGGGTTTAATCCTCACTACCACCAAGAGAGAAGGAGAGAGAGAGAGAGAGAGAGAGAATGAAAAAAGAAAACCTGAAGTGTAGCTCATTCATCTCCCACCATCTCCACCCAACATTCCAGTAAACTTGAGCTACTAGAGTTGCTTAAGTTCAGTGGGAAATAACAGCCCCCATCCTATCATACATGAACCCATCGAACTCTTGGGAGTTCCAACACGTATATACACATAGGAGCTCCCATACTGCAGCCTTTCAT